CCCAGCCCTTTAATTAATCTTCTCAACCCTTCTTTTGCCCCCCACCCCCTCCCCACCCTGCCGGCAGCCCCGGCGCTCGGCGAGGCCTGCCTGCGCTCCCACCAACACCAGCCAATCCCAAATGCTTTGGCACTTCAGTTCCCCTCGTCAAACACCGGCCCGAGGGCGAGCCTGGCGAGGCGCGCCGGCCGCGGCGACTCACTCGCAGGCACCCCGCAGCCTGCCGCCGCGCCAGCGCCAGCGCTGCTGGAACTGGCTGATGGAAACCATGATTGAACGTCGTCGGCGATGTTGTTTGCGCCCTGCGGCGGCCTGGCAGAGCGTCAGCTAGACGCGTACCGAGGGGTACCGGAGTTTCGTAAAACCGTTTGAAATATGAAAGTTTTATTCATCCACACAGTGTCATTGTTCCAGGTGACGTGCGGATATGAAAGTGTGGTGGGTGGGTGGCCCGAGCGTTCTTCCTATGCTATATCCAGTTAAGAATTTTGTCGTTTCCACGCTCAGCGCGCGCTCACGCTGGCGTGAGCGCGGAGGGCGAGAGGGGAAGCGGGGGACGAAGAGGGTTAGCAGTTCTTCCGCCGCTGCCTCCCCGCACCCTGCCCCTCGCCCACCTCACGCCGGCGTGAGCGCGCGCTGCGCAAAGCGAGGAAACGACCAATTCTTAACTGGATATGGCACAATCCCTATCACCGTCGCGCCCCCGCGTAGCCTCCCAATCGCACAAAGACGTCTCCCCCGCCCCTCATTTTCCCCCCATGTCCCAGTGGGCCCGTCGAGCCAATACCGAGCCACCCGAGGACCTGCTGGGTCCAGATGAGTCCCACAGAGACGAAAGTAATTCCGGTGAATCTAATTTTTCATCCAATCAATCATGCTTCAGACCGACTCTGTCGGCCCATGAGGGGGGGGGGGTGACTGCTGAACAGTTGTGCCCGTTTATACCTCGGCACCGCGTCCCACCCTTTCTCCCCGGGGCTCTATCGCAAGACTATCGCCTCGTTCCCCGACCATCCGAACCCCCACCCCACTCACGCGTGAGAAATATCCCTACTAAGTCGCATCGATGGCTGTAAGGGTGGAGAGGTCAGTTGTTTGGCACTTCTCGTTTAATCCCACGCCGAACACGCCCAAACTCCTTCATGCCCCGGCTGCGCTTGCAGAGCCCGCTCAACATGCCTCCTTCAGCTCCAAAGCTCCGCCCAAATTGAGCGGGGCGGCTGCTGCAGCCGCAAGGCCACGCGGCTCTATTCCGCATCGCGTGGAATCCAAACTAAGTCAACTTTATCACGACTGTAATCTAAACACACACCGGCAATCCCCCTACTTACAGCCCCACCAGGCCCGCCACTACACAACTCAAAGCACCAGACTTCAAACACGTTTTTGGGCCGGCTGAGAGAAGTTCCTATTTCAACTATTCACTTTCCTGTTAACAAGCAAGTCCACAATTAAAAAGTACTTTGGGATCTCTGAATGGATTTTTTCCCACATCGTTTTGAACAATAGTCTGCCGTATCGTGACTCTTTTGACACAAACCATGAAATAAAAATACTCCAGCGGCACCAAGTTTGAGTCTCCACTTAATGTGAGCACTGACCCTAAACTACACTTGAACTATAGAAAACTACAGTTTAACTATAGAAAAAGTACCAGTTCTTTCGGACAACTATAGTTTTGAACAGTTCTAGAGTTTAAAGTTTTTCTTGAAGATGTGCCCTATCAAGCGAAGAAAAGTGTATCGTAAATGCCAAAATCCGAAAAAAGGCCATTGAAATGTCGACTGATGACATCTTGTACGAACTCGTGTGGGAACGTTTTTCTGGGCGAGTCTAAACAGGCAAAGAAAACATAATAAATGCTTTCCCGATTTAACGGACGGTTGACGGTCGCTTCGTGTAACGACCGACCGGTCCCTTTCTCCTGGCCTGGCAATAACTCCATCGTAGACTCATTGCCAATCCAGCTTTTGTCCATCTCGCGACAGCTGGTCTAATGCGATGCGCGAAGGTGGAAAATCACTCCAGCGATTCGCAACTTTAGCGAATAAATGACGACGGATTCACTGGCGTATTGACAAGGGCTGCTGAGAGGTGGGGATGAGAGAAATGCTCACTTGACAAGCCATCAGGTCCACGTCTCTTCTAAAAAAAAAGTGGAAGGAGAAAGACTAATTTTTGTGATTTATATTAGGTATCTATCATTCATATTCACTATCGCGATTTACTCTATCCGTGGAATTTTCATTTGGCACGGAGTCTGTTAGACTCGAGGAGTTGAGGAAGTACTGAAGTAACTGTCAAATTGACTCGGCACTTGGTGTTGTGGGTTCGAATCCCGCGTACCGCTGATGGTATGGCCTGTGAATCTGGGTTTCAGTCTTGCTCACCTTGCGACAAACGTAAGTGCAACAACCAAGTCCTCTTCAATCCGTTTAAGTAGCTTTCATTAGCTGGCGCGGGGCTCGTGTGAAATACGGGTGAGGCAGATCTTTTCCCCCGCTTGCTTTATTTTCAAAATTAATATAGGAATGGAGACCTCTCCAAGTGTATGGATTTTTATTCGCTCACCTACAAGTGTGGTGGACCATACAGTACCACGTGCATACCAGTTATTGCACACTTTCGTTTTCAATGTAACTAGATTTTAATTGTACGAATTTAAGCAGCCACACAATTATTCTGCGCTGATTTTAACATCTTTGTCCATTCAATACGAAAAAATGCACTTCTGAGCACAAATTAGTATAAAAAGAAACGCAGGTTGAACTTAGCGCGAAAGTTTCCACAAATAAAATATACAAATACAATTAGCGTGCACGAACCTGCCTGGTTCAGCCTCTGAATGCTTTCATAGCGCCTGATAGGTGTGCAACATCTTCGCTGCAGTGCAAGCCTGTACTGCGGGTTGGCCTACCCTATGTCTCGCAGGCACCAAGCATCCCCTAACTAGCCTAAACCTGAGAAAAAACTGTATGATTCTTTGGATTGTAGTCATGTTGTATTAAGCCTGCTACACGGGGCTATACGGTAGGAATACTATTTGAGTGTGTGTGTCTGCAGGGACGCTGTTCCTTGTGCGTAGATGGTTGATTGTTGGGTTTAGTGTTGTACTGTTGCTCTTATAGATACTTCGCGAATTTAACAGAACGACGGATAGCAGTTGAATTTTCTTTATTTTTGGTAACAGGAGAGCGTTTAAAAGCACAACCACGCATTACAATGATCTCCGAGTCACGAGTAATTCGAACAAAACCATTCCGAATTCAGTGAGAAGTCGAATGTCCTCAGGTTGTAGTCGACGAATTGATTAACAGAGATATTTTATCTAAGACATCTACTGATGAAAATAAATATTTAGAGAAACAAAGGCAGAGGTACCACGAGATAACAATATCTTCAGTGAAGATTGAGTAACGAATATCGAAACGTATTCTACATAATATTTAGCTTATTATTAACATCACATCATTTGATATCAAAATAGAGTAAGAATTTCATTCACAGAAGGATAAAAAGTCTAATGTCAAAATAAATTAGGCTATTCAATTTTTTTCGAACAAAACGTAATGATCGAACTTCATAGTTCTAATAGAAGATCCTTATACATGAATAAGTAATGGTAAATTACTGTATAATTGAAGCACGACTCGGCAAAAAGTACCGGAAGAACTGATGAACACAATTTAGCCTTGGCCTCAAGTCTCAAGTAAAATATATAGATTTGGGATCGATACACTCATCTCCATTCTCAAAATTGTTTGGAAATTCTCATTACTGCTGTAAACATCCTTCATGGAACGTACTTAATGGTCCCTAAAATGAATTGAAACATGATAACACAGACATCAATAGCTAAGATATACATATAAATATTGCAGTCCATAAAGAAACACACACACATTGGTGGAAAGTAAAGAGAACAGTTCAATTTTACACGTCTTTTTTCAATGATATTTACCAGTCTTGTGAGCGCATTATAAAGGAGAGAAATTTTTCAGATCAATCAGTAGAGGCGATAGAACAGTATTTTAAAAAGTAGAGCCGGCTACCAGCCGAATTTACTGACGACGCACACAATTTTGACCTGGCCGGGTCGCTTTAAATCTCTCTCAGCCTCTCCTCGTCTGTGAACAGCGACATGTCGAAGACGCAGCGACCGTCGTGGCCACCCTTGGGCCCGACGGGGTCGACCGGCTCCAGGATGTCGTCGGCCGGCGTGATGCCCTCGGCGCGCATCTCGTCCCGCACCTGAAAGCCGTGCAAACAGTTAGGGACTACTCCTCAAGTGCAAGAGGGACCGCACTGGAAACCCGAATGTGTGAATGTCGCACATCTGTAGGTGTGTGAATGCCCATTCGTACAGTCAAGAGCGCATCAGGAAGTAAAGGTGTGCATTTTCATTGGAAATGCACACAATCGAGCCTTCAACATGTGCACGAATGTCGTTCACAGGTGTGCGACACAAACTTGGGTTTCCGGTCGTGCGTGTTTACGGACGGTCCCTGCTTCCGCGGGGGCGGGGCTTAAGCGTGGCCTGATGAGTATAGATAGCTGGGGTGGCAAGGGGCGGCCACGAGTCTATTAGTAGGTCCTGATTTATGGACGTGCCCTGCCTCACTCCTGATCAAGATGAATTGCCGTCCTCCCCCTGCCCCCTCACCCCAACTTCCCCTCAGCCGCACCGTGCGGCGGAAGGGCATGACTAGGGGATCGTTCTATTGCCCGCGCTCAAGTGCATCTTAAGTTGCATTTTCTTCATGTTTCTGTATAAAATGATGGTTAAATAAATATACCTTTTCGACTCGGCGCATGACGCGGAGCAGGTTGCGGCCCGCCACCTTCTGCAGGTCTATCCCGGTCCAGTTGCCGGAGCGGAGCAGCTCGACGAACAGGTCCGGGTACCGTGACACGTCCTCCAGGCCCGTCGGCGTCCTGCGTGGGGACGGAGGCACGTCAGGTATGCGATGACAACAACCGGCGGACGCCGCAACAACGTTAATGCTACTCACTTATTCACGCCATCGAAGTCGCCGCCCACTCCAATGTGGTCCGGTCCTATTCTTCTCCGAATGTAGTTAATGTGCGCTGTAACAGAAAACAAAAGTTTCCCTATTTCAGTCGGATAATTAAATTTATAATGCAGCAAAGGCGGAGAAAACCAGAGGAGGCAGGGCTGGGGGGACGGGGATGGGGG